CCTGGGGAATGAGGCATAGAGTCAGAGGAAAGCAGAGGCTTGTGGGCATTAAGAAATTTTGGGAACTGCTGTACTCTAGGAAGCTGCCAAAAAGTCAGAGTGTTTTTTTCTACAGGCTCCCATCTCACTGTGAGCAGAAACCTCACAGCGCTGCTACCTCACACTGTAGTGCTGCTGTTCTGCAGGGTGATGGGACTGGACTTCAGGACTGTCCCAGCTCATGCCCAACTCCGTGTGTTCAAATGAGAGACCTATGCATTTCTCCAGATCAACAGAAGCTGCTCTGTTACATGAGCAGTATTAACAAACTCAGCAGCTGTGGGATTAATTATGGTTCATTTGAAAAGAGTTTAATTATCTGCTGCTGCATTTTTGCTGGTGGTGCATGAGAAGGCAGCTTCTTGACTGCTGTCTTGCTTGCAGGCAAAGGAGTTAGCATGTGTACCTTAATGGAGATCAGTCCAACAATGAGAGGGAGGAAAACCATTTCTTCTCCATCCCAGCTTTGCTTGCCATTCACTTCTATTTTGCCTTTCAGTTTCCATCGCTGGCGACCATAACGCATGAAAATCTGAAAAAAGAAAAATCCTCTTATTTTCTTGAGAAGTTTGCTCCCTTGATGCACAAATATCAGAACCAGAATTGGGGAAAGGGTCTGAAACAGGTTGGAAGAGTCAGTGGAGCAGGTGCTGCCCTTCTGTTTCCCATACAGTCAGAAGGAAAAGGTCTATCCTGCAGTATCTCTGCCTCTCAGCTCTCCTAATTGCCCTATTCAGTAAAGCACCGCTCACCCCAGCTTTTACCTTCATGTGACTACATAACTCATAACAAAGAAGCTGAAGGAGTTTTAGCTCTTTTTACAAGGAAAGGAGCAGTTAGGGGGAAGATTCGAAGGGGCAGGAGGAATGTCCTCATAGCCTTTCCTAACACCTACAGCTTACTGGATCTAATGCTTTCCCAGGCAGGGGAAAGGGTAGGTGGGTCCCTCCATCAGAGGCCTTCCCAGCTGTGAGACTTTGGCTGGCTGGTGATGAAAATGAATGAGAGAGCAACAAGGACATGCAGGGCTGTGAGGTGGGCTAGGAGAGACCCACCCCAACTAATTGGCCCTGCAGAGGAAGGCCATGCTGCTGGCAGGAGAGATTTGTCACAGGGAATGTGTGGGAACAAATGAATCAATGATCAAGACAGCTGGGAAGTACAGGTTAGAGGGGATCCATAATCAATTTGCAAATTTCTTGCAGGGTTAGCTCTGCTCTGGGTAAAGCTGGAGGCTTTTATTTTAATTCATCTCTAATTAACCTGCTCTTGATGTTATCCACTGGAACACTGTGACCAGAGATCCTGATGCAGTCTCAGAGCAGGTAACATCTGGCTCTCAAGAAATGGCTATTCTGTGCCATTCTCTTACTCTGCTTTATGACAAAGTAAAGCCTAAGCATTCAGTAAAGGATGCTTGCAAGGATGTGTCCAATTTGCTCTGCATGCATGAGATGGGGAATATGCATTTTTCCAGGAAAATCAGAAATATTTGTCATTAATAGGATAGTAAGAAGCATGCCCTCCTTCTGGGAGGCACTTAAAAAATAAGGGGGTTTTGCTTTTTTTTTTCCCTTTTAGTTTGAACTTTTTAATTTTTTATTTTTAAAAAAGCTTGTAGTTCTTTGACTAGCCATCATCCAGTGCTCTGAATACAGTTTTCAGGTCTTCAGACAGATGCTCTGACATAGGCAGATAAAAAGAGAACTGTAAGGTTCTTCAGTGCATATACAGGAAAATTAATAGCCATTCCTTGGGATGCTGATGTGAAAAGGTTTTACCCATCGCGACATAAAAAGCAGCAGAAATCTGCCTTTCTTTTGATTGATTCCTTTGCTACCAAACAAACCGTAAACCAACGCAGACGTACCTCGTACTGATCTCCCGGGCAGAGCCGAGCGAAGCCAGCCAGACCTGAGGAGAAAACACATGGAGGGGCTGTGGGAGGGCCTGGGCTGCTCAGCGCCGCAGTGACCCGCAGCGGGTTGCTCCGGGGTGCCCCGGGCCACCGCTGCCACCCTCGGACGGGAGAGGGCGGCAGCCCCCTGGCAGCCGCTTCGCCGGGAGGGGTTTTTCACCCCTCCTCTTTACTGCTGCCTTAGCACCCTCCAAACTAAGATTAACACACCCTACACCTCCCCATATTAATTTTATTTTTCTTTTCTTTTTTTTTTCGGTATATAATTCCACACAGAACCACAGAATCATTAAGGTTAGAAGAAACAATTCCTTGGGTTGTGGTTTCTTGCATATCAAAGATTTGCACTTTCCGGCTTTTTTTTTTTTCCTACAGCAGCTCGAATTGTTCTATAATAATTCTAGAAAAGGAAGAAACAGTTTCCTGACGTCATCTGGCTTCAGAAACCGAGCTTAGCACCCTTACTATCACAGCGCGTGGGCGAGCTGCTGGTTACCGTGTCGTGCTTGCAACTTAACACTAATCAGACTGAGCTATACGTTTTAACACAGAGTACTTTCTTAGTACATCTTAACAGAAACACAAGAGGGGCTCCTTCTGTTTGGCGTTGCCATAACATTATCAATCTCATACAATCCGAATATCTTTCAATAGTAAGTAAAATCAAGAAACATGACTGACATCTGTAATACGAGATTTATCCCATCTTTCCCCAGAGGAGTAGAAGTAGTGCAGCAAAGCACTTATGGTATACATTTGCTTATTTTTTTAAGGGTAGAACAAGAAACAACTTCGAGGACACATACAAAGCTTGTGGTAGAGAAAGGAATGAAAACAAACTTTACAAGGTCTTTGGGCTGCATTTATCCCAAAATGCTGTAGTTGAACGTATATGGGTGTGTTAAAATCAAGGCAAGTAAGATGAACCCTAATGTTGGCTTTATTTACCAGGCTGAATTAGTCCTGCTCGCTGGACTGTAGGAGCATCTAGACTTCTGCATGTAGTCACAGCCTGTCCCTGCAATCTGCTGATCCTCCTCTTCATTACTTTGACCAGAAAAGAGTTTTCTTTGCTCATCTTACTGTTTAGCAGAACAGAGAGGCCCTTGCACAGAGCTCATATTACCAATTCCTTTCTAATTTATTTACTGTTTATAAATAATTTAAGCTTACTAGCACTCCACTGCTGTTTCTCTCTCCCCAGGCATGCTTTTATAAGTGAATTTGATCTCTGCTGGGACATCACTGAAAGCATCTGAGGAAAATAAAAGGTCTTTTCTTTGCTCAGTGGGTGTGGTGGGCGGGGAAATGCATCTTAAAACTCCACATGGATATTGTCCGGAGTCAAGGTGTGTGAGTGGTGACTGGTCCAACCAGGCTGGTCAAGTCTCTGCAGTCTGATGAAGAGGGGGCTAAGCACTGACTTGATTACAGGGCATAAGTACTTTCATAGAAATCAACTTTTCGGTAACTGAATGGCTCCTGGGGACTAAATGCAAGGCAGGAGCCAACAGCTCTATCGTACCATTTCAAATGTCATGCCTTTGTAAAAGCAATGCCCTGGGCTTTTAATGCAGGTCGGCTGGGAGGTTGCTCTTGGGGTGTCAGCCTAAGTAGTTAGGGGACAGGGTCATTACTTGACTGTGGTAAGGTGGCAGGACACTAGTGATTTCATTGGCTGGGCCACCTGAAGTTCATGTATACTTCTGCTGGTGTGCAGGATGCTGGACACGTGGACTGTGGTTGCTGGTGCTGGGCTCAGTGTTGTAGAGCCCCTGGTGCATCAGGCCAGTGTATTGTTCTTCCTGGGTGGAATGGCTGAGAATTTTACCTCCTGCTGTCCTGGCACTCCCAACAGGTAT